GCATCAATAATTGTAGTTCTTTTCTTTCTTTATCCCTCCTAACCTCTCATCCTCCACCCCTCCTCTCCTCACGGTCTCTGTCCTGGCCTGACTGTTTCTCACATCACCTACTTATACCTAACACCTTATCAGACATTCTTTAGTCTAGTGGGGTGGCAGGGTGTCCAGAAAGGCACTGGCTTACACGGGATATTAGCACCAACAAGTGACTCTAGGGGACCCTGAGTTAGTGCTGAGTTATTTGGGGAACTAGTTGGTTGGGCATGGCACCTGGTCTCTGTGAGTTGAGTCGCAGATACTAACAATGATGGGATGAGTGGGCAGATGGCTATCTGAGCCTCAGGATTGAAGGCAGATTACACTGATTCCATGGGCACATCTACTTCATTAATGGCTTTTGTAGCCAGAGGAATGAATGGGATGACCCAGAAAGGGTGTGGATGTAGAACAAATGTGAGAGCAGGACAGACTTCTTCTAAGAAGGGTAGATTGTGTTAAATCAGATAAAAGGGCAGAGATTAAGGGGGAGGAGTAGGAGGAGACAAGGAGGGTTAGGCAGGTTATTTACAGTGGAGGTCTGTGCAAAGAAGGAAACTGATGAAAATACACTATTTCTGCCATAACGGGTTTGGCTCAGTGGATAGAGCATTGGCCTGCGGACTGAAGCGTCCCAAGTGTTCGATTCCAGTCAAGGGCATGTACCTTGGTTGTGGGCACACACCCAGTAGGGCAGTGGTTCTCAACCTTGGCTGCACATTAGAATCACCTGGGAATCTTTTTAAAATCCTGGTTTCTGGGCCTCATTATGAGAACCACTGCAGGAGGGAGTGGGCAGGAGGCAGCTGATTGGTGTTTCTCTCTCATCGATGTTTCTAACTCTCTATCCATCTGCATTCCTCTCTGTAAAAAATCAATAAAAAATATTTTTAAAAAATATGGTATCTCTGAGTTACAGTAAAGCCTCCATATAAAAGATAAATTTGGGAAATGTGGGGGTGTCCGTTAAAGCTGAAAATCTATTATATAATAAAGTAGGCTTTCTGAATGTGTATATTAAAAATTTGACAGCCCTAACCCGTTTGGCTCAGTGGATAGAGCGCCGTCCTGGGACTGAAGAGTCCCAGGTTCGATTCCAGTCAAGGGCATGTACCTTGGTTGCTGGCACATCCCCAGTAGGGGGCCTGCAGAAGGCAGCCAATCAATGATTCTCTCTCATCGATGTTGCTAGCTCTCTATCCCTCTCCCTTCCTCTCTGTAAAAAAACCAATAAAATATATATTTTAAAAAAATTTGACAAAGGCTCCTGGGCGGTGTGGCTCAGTGGTTGAGCATTGACCCATGAACCAGGGGGTCATAGTTCGAATCCCAGTCAGGGCACAGGCCTGGGTTGTGGGCTCAGGGATCCCCCATAGCAGGCTTGCAGGAGGCAGCTGATCAATGATTTTCTCATCATTGGTGTTTCTATCTCTCTATGAAATCAACAAAAACATTGTTTTTTAAAAAGGAAAATTTGACAAATTAGACTACCTGTATTTACTTACGTAGACACATTTGTGTAATTTAAATTAAATATATATAAATGTTTAATTTCACAGAACTCTTTTCAATATGTATTACAGCTGTTTTAAATATACACTGAATAGATTTGGTAAATCAATGTCACCTACAGCAACAAATGCACAGGGCTGGGGCTGGCTTAGCGTAAGTGGGAACATGGGCCTTCACCCATTAAAACTGCTGCAGAAAGTCACCCCACAGGACAACAGAACCAATTACCTCACATGATGCAGTGGGATCATGTGCTAATCATTCGCTGAACACTGTTGACCAGCAGTGACTCTTAGATTTAAATATGAAGACTATCGTTGTAGATATGTGGGCCGAGCCAGCACAGCCAAGGGTGATCCTGAGTGGGGGTGATGAAAGGATTGAGAAAAGACAGACAAGAGAATGAAAGCTGGGTCTCGGTGGGATGCTGCTCCCTGCTGAGGAGACAGCGGCAGCACCCACAAGCCATGTCTTTATTTTATAGCAGATGCCACAAGGCAAAGTAGGGGCGTGATCAAGTTGTTTACAGCATTCTCGTGAGTTCCAACCCTACTCAACTACATGCACCTGAACTCTAGCACAAGGCACATGGGGCCACGTGTTCGGACCATAGGTTCAAGCTTACAACCATAGCTGTTGGCTATGATTGTGCTGGGAGGGCTCTGCCCTCCAGCTGGGACTTGCACGTGGCAATGAGAGGACTGTGCCCTCTCATTAGTCCAAGGCTTGAACCTGTCCAAAACACTGTAGCCGTGCCCCATAGATATATAATACTATTTACGTTGGTAAAATTGCTTCAGTGTTTTCTCCAACATTTGGCCTATTCACTAAAATTTTGTTAAAAATAACAGTGACCCAGGCAGCGTGGTCTGTGGTTGAGCATCGACCTATGAACCAGGAGGTCACGGTTCGACTCCCAGTTGGGACATATGCACAGGTTGCAGGCTTTATCCCCAGTGTGCAATGTGCAGGAGGCAGCCAGTAAATGATTCTCATCATTGATGTATCTATTGCTCTCTCTGTCTCCCTTCCTCTGTGAAATAAAATATATATATTATTTAAAAATAAGTGAATTAATTGTTGTGGCAGAATGCATGGGAGAACGATCAGCCAGCACTCTGAGGGAGGAAAGTTTAACCTTTATTTCGCAGATCTGCTAGTCCAAGGGAATTCTGGATCCAAGGCCTGAAATGAACTCATGGGGAGGCTCTGACCTATATATCTCCTCCTGTGGCGGCCCCTGAAAGCCCCCCACAGCTCTGCCCAAGTCAGTCTTGGCAGGGCCTTGGAGGCATGCTCCACAGGTGCACCCAAGTCAGCTGTGGTCTGGCCCTGAGGTTAGGCTCTGCAGCTCCGCCCAAGTCAGTCAGAGTGGGGAAGTAAGACTATGGTTTTAACCAGATACTGAACTAGGTTGCAAGGACCCCCGCCCCCACCCCATTTTCCTTTTCAGTTAGAATGAGTGTTATGCTAGTATCAGACTCACCAATCAGGGGGATTATTATTGAGATGTAGGGATGAAAAGAGGCCACATGCTAACCTGACAAGTTCAGGGAAGGCCTGTGTGTGATGGCCTTGAAAATTCAGAGAGCTAGAATAACCACAAAGGATGGTCTGAAATTAAACTATTTTAACTAGAAGCAGTTTATGGCAGATAGTCATGTTCCAGGCTAGCATCTCCCTTACCTATGCCTGTCCATTGTCTTTTGCATGTAAGATTGCATACCTTGGCAGTGTCAGGGTGAATCCCCCTATTTCAGACCCCTCAGTGCACAACCAATGCAGGAGGGCTGAGACCATAACTCCTCTCATTGTTATTGTCCTCATGTTAACCATTAGCTATTAATTACCCTGTACCCAGCTATGTAAAATATATATGTATGCCTATTATTTTACTTTTCATCCTATCCCAGGGGTTTCCCTACTTTGCTTCCTCTCAGCTCCCTAACCTATCCCCAATGGATTTCATGTGACCCCCTTGGGTATTCTCTTTTGATTTGCAATGTATAAAATAAGGCACCAAACTGCCATTCTACGGACATTATCCCAATTCATTAGATTTTGCCTCCTGGCAATGATCTCATAAAAATTCTCTACAGGTTTGAATGATTCTTACATTGATGGAACCCAGTTTTCTGATAAATCTCATTATTTCTGGATTAAACAGTGTAACTGTGCCGGCAGCAGCAATGGCACCAAGTGTCTGACAGGGGGGGGTCAGACCCAACCTGGGTTCAGCAACCTTGGTACTTGGTTCTGGCTGGGTAAGAATACAGGGCAAGACCCAAACTGTAAGAGAACACTTACAGGGTAAATTACAGAGGTAGGAGAAGTAATTCTTAGAGGAAATGGGTTTAGGAAAGGAGTTATGGAGGTAAAGGAAGTGCCCTTGGAGCTTGGGAGCACAAGCTAATGGTAACCTGCCTGGGGGAGGAGGAGAAGGAGGGGAAGGGGAAGGTACAGGTGTGCTCCAGGGAGGGAGAGCGCACTGGGTCCTCCTTCCTAAGGTTTTAAGGGTGGAGATTTCAGGGGAGGTCCCAGGGGAAGAGCTGAAAGGAATATTCTGTAGCTTTCCAGGTGTGTCCATTCAGGGGTGTGGCCTCCACTGATGGATTGGCCGGCACGAGGGCAGGGTTCATTATTCAATGCAGCTGGTCCTGATGTCAGCCCTGGCATTTTGCTGCTTATCTGGGCCTGGAGCTAGAGGAGGAAAAGTCACCCTGGGGACAAGGCCCCACCCTACAATTGGTTGCCATTGCTGGACACCTGGGCTTTCCACCCTGGTGACCTCTGTGCCTGGCCCATCTCCTTGCTCTGGGTAGGTCTGTGGAACTGCCTACAAGACAACCACAAGTAAGGGGTGGCTCATGGCCTCAGAGGAGCGTGGTTGAATCACCAGTGGGAACACATGTTTTCATGTGAAAAACGTTTTCTAAAGTTAACCATTCTAAATATGCAGAAGTCACTTTTCACGCTGGAAATGATGGCTTGTTTCTGGTTTCAATGCTGTTTTGGGGAATCTGACTGTAGTTCTGGAAGGATAACACCCTAACGTATCCCTGGTACGTGAGCCTGTGCACCTTTTTGGCAAATGCACACGTCAGACTCCAGTTGTCAACAAAGATGAAAATGGAGCCAGAGTCATTAGGTGCCTTTTAAGTGTGTGTGTTTGCAAGGAAGGACCACTGTTCCCTGGGGACTCTCAGCGCTGCCTCTCAGTGCAAACTTCCCTGGACAGGAGATCTGGCTGCTTTGGGCTCAGGCCTGTGCACCTCAGGCGCTAGGAAGCATGTGGTGCGAAGTATCTGTCAACAGAGCTGAGCGCCAGGTGGGCGGGGCTGCGGTGCGGAGTGGGGGCGGGTCTATTGGTGGCAGGTGGGTGGGGCTACGCTCTGCTACCTCCGGGAAGTTCACACAGATCGCATCTCCCTTGCACTTCCGTCATTCCTCCTGGGATCTGTAAGGCGTTGGGGGCTGCAGGCGGGACTCGGGGAGGATCAGGAACTAGAAATGGTGAGTGTGCGGCCGGGCGCGGGGTCGGGGAGGAGGGGCGGGTGGAGCCGCCGTGGCGGGGCCGTCTCTCCACGGTCAGGTCCGGAGCCTGCGGACCCGAGGCGCCGGGGGCTCCGCTGAAACTGCAGGCCCCTCGGGCTCGCAGGGTGGGGTCCAGCCGGGACCCGGGCGTCCAGTTTGTCCCCGCGGCAGGACCTTGGGCTGGGGAGGTCCCCGCGGCAGGGCCTTGGGCTGCGGAGCGCGTCTGGGCAGCTCTGCACCCTCATCCCCGCGGCTCCGCAGTCGGTGCGGCGATCACGGGGAGGGCCATTGGGGACAATGGTGACTCGGTCCCCGCGGTTCGTGCACGGGAGGAGCTGTGGTCTGTGGGGCCCCCTGTCCCTCATTTCTCCCCAGAAGGACCCCGTTTTCTCCTGAGTTTTGATGTTTGTGGAGCAGGCTCTCAAGTCCACCCTGTCCCCCAGGCCTAGCTCTGCAGCAAATGCCTGCATTTCCAGTCTCTCCCCCGAATCCTAAACGCCATCTTCCCTTCTCCGAGTCACAGCATCTTTATCAGCTATTTGTTTTGCGGTGCTTTTCAAACGGTTAAAAACAAACTTCAACTGAACAAATTGAAAGGACTAATTGGCTTGATTCCCCTTTCAGGAATCAGGCAGCATCCCATATAGTAAATAGAATCTGAGCGGCTGTTCAAAATGGAAGGCTTTTACTATTCTTTTAATTAAATCTTTATTGTTCAGATTATTACAGTTGTTCCTCTTTTTCCCCCCATAGCTTCCTTCCACCCGGTTCCCACCCCACCCTCAGCCCTTACCCGCCCCCCCAACACTGTCCTCATCCATAGGTGCACGATTTTTATCAGATTTGTCCATGAGAAATAGTCTCTACCCTTAACCAGGTGATTTCTTCTGTTGCTAAATAGAGACTTGGAGAAGCCACACTTGTCTCTTTATTCCCAATATGAGAAGCATCTGCTCAGATTCTGTCTGAATAAGCAGTTGGGTGCGTGACTAGCGCTGTCCAGTTAGGTTTGTTGATGTAGCTGAGCCATGCGTGACAGGCTCTGACTCTGAGACCGAGGCTTACAGCCCACATCTCACACTCTGCCACATGGCGATGACAAAGATCAGGGACTTTTTCCCATAAGGAGAATTCTTCAGCTGGGTTAACCCAGGGTAGTAAATGCAGCAACTGTAGATGAATAAGAAAATCAGAGTTCATTAGACTTGGAACCACATGAGAAAATGCAGCTGTTCGTGTGATAGGAAAAAACACACACATAGACACATATTCACTTATGTCACCCCGCCTACCCCCACTTTCTTGAATTACCACTGAAAGATAAAATGAAGCTACATACCCAGTCATATTTTATATGCATGAGCCTGTTGTTTGAAGTTGTTGTTTTTTTTTAATTCTTTATTTGTTAAGGTATTACAAATGTGTCCTTATCCACCCCATTAAACCCCCCCCCCCCCTCATGTTCTCATCCCCCTGTTGTCCATGTCCATTGGTTTGGCTTATATGCATGCATAGAAATCCTTAGGTTGATCTCTTCCCTTTGTCCCCTCCCTCCCCTACTTTCCCTCTAGGGATTAATAGTCTGATTGCTGTTTCTCTGTCTTTGGATCTGTCCCTGTTCATCAGTCTATATTGTTCTCTATATTCCACAAATGTGTGAAATCTTCAGGTATTTATCTTTCTCTGACTGGCTTATTTCACTTAGCATAATGCTCTCCAGTTCCATCCATGCTGTTGCAAAAGGCAAGAGTTCCTTCTTTTTTACCGAAGCATAGTATTCCATTGTGTAATGTACCACAGTTTTTTAATCCACTCATCTGCTGATGGGCACTTAGGCTGTTTCCAAATCTTAGCTATGGTGAATTGTGCTGCTATGAACATAGGGGTGCATATATCCTTTCTGATTGGTGTTTTTGGTTTCTTGGGATATATTCCTAGAAGTGGGATTACTGGGTCAAATGGAAGTTCCATTTTTAATTTTTTGAGGAAACTCCATACTGTTTTCCACAGTGGCTGCACCAGTCTGCATTCCCACCAGTGACTTTGAGCATGTTTTCATATGTCTCTTGGTCTTCTTTATGTCCTCTTTTGAAAGGTGTCTATTTAGGTCCTTTGCCCTTTTTTGATTGGATTGTTTATCTTGGTATTGTTAAGTTGTATGAATTCCCTATAAATTTTGGAGATTAATCACTTATAGGAGATAACATTGGTAAATACAGTCTCCCATGCAGTGGGCTTTCTTGTTGTTTTGTTGATGGTTTCTTTTGCTGTGCAGAAGCTTTATATTTTGATGTAGTCCCATTTGTTTATTTTCTCTGTAGTTTCCATTGCCCTAGGAGCTGTATTTAAGTCCTATCCATTTTGAGTTTATTTCTGTGTATGGTGTAAGTTGGTGGTCTAGTTTCATTTCTTTTGCATGTGTCTGTCCAATTTTCCAAACACCATTTATTAAAGAGACTGTCTTGACTTCATTGTATGCTCTTGCCTCCTTTGTCAAATATTAATTGAGCATATTGGCCTGGGTCAATTCTGGGTTCTCTGTTCTGTTCTGTTCGTCTATATGTCTGTTCTTGTGTCAGTACCAGGCAGTTTTAAGAACAGTAGCTTTGTAATATAACTTGATATCTGGTATTGTGATCCCTTCATTTTTCTTCTTCTTTCTCAAGATTGCTACAGCTATTTGGGGTCTTTTTTTATTCCAGATGAAATTTTGGATAGTTCTATATTTTTCAAGTATACTGTTGGTATTTTAACAGGGATTGCATTGAATCAATAGAATGTTTTTTGGTGGGATGGACATTTTAATGATGTTGATTCTACCTATCCATGAACACTGAATATTCTTCCATTTGTTTATGTCTTCCTCTATCTCTTTTTTTAGCGTCCTGTAATTTTCTGAATACAGGTCCTTTACCTCCTTGGTTAAATTTATTGCTAGGTACCATAATTTTTATGTTGCAATGGTAGATGGGATTTTTTTTTTTTTTTAGTTTTCTTTCTGTGAGTTCATTACTGGTGTATAAAAAAGCCATAGATTTCTGGGTGTTAATTTTGTATCCTGCTACATTGCCGAATTCATTTATTAAGTCTAGTAATTTTATGATGGAGTCTTTCGGGTTTTCTGAGTACAATATCATGTCATCTGTGAATAATAACAATTTTACTTCTCCTTTTCCAAGTATGCCTTTTATTTCTTCTTCTTGTCTGATCGCTATGGCTAACACTTCCGGTACTATGTCAGACAAGAGTGGTGAAAGGACTGTCTCATTCTGGTTCTTAGGGAAGTGGTTTTAATTTTTGCCCATTGAGTATGATGTTGGCTGTAGGTTTGTCATATAAGGCTTTTATTATGTTGAGGTATGATCCCTCTATTCCCATTTTACTGAGAGTTTTTATCAGGAAAGGTTGTTGGATTTTGTCAAATGCCTTTTTCGAATCAATTGATATGATTATGTGATTTTTGTCTTTCAATTTGTTAATGTGATTTATCACATTTATTGGTTTGCGGATAATGTACCAGCCTTGTGTCCCTGTGATAAATCCCACTTAGTCATAGTGTATGATCTTTCTAATGTAATGCCGGATCCAATTTAGCATCAAGTTTTTGGAGAAAATTACTTTTGTATGTTTTATGTTTTCAAACCTATTGGGATGACATTGGCTAGGAAAATTATATGTTTCAAATGTACAATTCTATAATACATCATGTGTACATTGTATTGTGTGTTCCCCACCCAAAGTCTCCTTCCATCACCATGTAATCCTCCCCTTTACCCTCTTCTACCTCCTCACACTCCCTTTTCCCTCTGGTACACCATGCTGTTGTCTGAGTCTAAGAGTTTGTTTGTTTTGCTTAATCCCTCTCCCTTTTTCATCCATTCTCCCAACCCCCTTCTCTTCTGACAGTTGTCTGTTCTCTGTATCTATGAGTCTCTGTAGACTTTGTTAATTCTCTTCTTTACATTCCAAATATAAATGAAATCATGTGATATTTGTGTTTTTCTTACTGGTTTACTTCAGTTAGCATAATGCTCTCCGTGTCTGTCCATGCTGTCACAGAGGATAAGGTTTCCTTCATTTTTATGGCTTGAGTTGTACTGTAGCTTTTTTATCCACTCACTTACTGATGGGCGCTTGAGCTTCCTCCAATCTGTTGTGAATAAGGCTACAATGAACGCGGGGGTGCATATTTTCTTTTGCATTATTGTATTGAGTTTTTTAAAAAATTATTCCCAAAACTAAAATTTCTGGTTCATTGCCGGGGCTTACCAGCAAACCCTGAACGACGGATTTATGGATTACTTTGAGACATTTACTGTGAAAGAGAGGTTAAGGGACTGCCCTACTAAAGGAACCAGACAGCCTTGATTGCCTGCCTTGTTAGGCTTTTATTGTAACAGCAGTTTGAGATAAAGTTTATCTTTTAGATACAATTAGTAGGATAAGTAATTTTGGGAGGACACATGTGTTTGTAATGTCCTTTAAGCAAGAACATCTGAAGATCAAGTATAAGGATTCCGGTATGTACCCAGGTGTCAGCACATGCACAGTCTTGTTTTTGAAAGGTCAAGGAATAATTAGGAGCATCACCTTCAGTACTCCCCTAAGTTGGAATTCCAATAAACTGGGCAGGCGGCCTTCTGCACAACTTCATGTTTTTCGGGATGTCCTCCTTACAAACTTTCCAACCAAGTCTCGTGTGCTTCCAAACATCTCCCCCTTTTTTGTTTTGCTGAATGTAGAAGACAGAGGGAGGTGGTGAACTTTCTGGGTCAGGGCCCGTGAAGTGCTTTACTGCTCCAGTTCCAATTTTACAGATTATAAGAAAAACAAAGAGTAATGGTTAGTTATCTGGAATGGGTGGAGTTTGAGTGTGTTCCAATAATTGCTCAGCCTCTGCCATCAGCTTCATCATGATTTCCCAGGTTATTCCGGGGGCCACCTGGGTCCAGGGAAGGTGCATCGTTCGGAGTCCACAG